AACCAGCTGTCTGAACTCGAGAGGCCCATCAAGGATCCTGCTGGGTCTATGAACCTCCTACATGCAAAATGATGTGTACGTGCGCGCGTACGTGTGTGTGTCGGTCTCCACGTGTTTGTTGAAACTGTTCACAGCTTTCATCAGATTCTTAGCATCCATACCTCCCTTGGTCCCTCTGCGGGGCTCCACCTCTCTGCCAGCGGCCCACCCTCCGCGGCCGCCCCCCTCGTCCCCACGGTCGAGGGAGGCGCCCGTCCCACCTAGACCGAGGGGCCAAGGTAGAGTGGCGCGGTCCTTCCCTCGCGGGGCCGCGCCCTCCTCTCCATCCCCCGGTGGGCCTCGCCCGCGGGCTGGTACAGGCGAAGGGGAGGGGCGGGGTGCGAGCGAGAGGCCGGGGACATCGCAGGTCCCCTTGCGGGGGACGGGGATGGAACACACGTGAGGCAGCGGGTCGACGCGTCGGTGCCCGTGTCCTTCCCCATCCCCGGCGCCCGGGGTGGGGCACGCACGCGGCAGGTCTCCGGGCAAAAAACAAAACAACAAAAAAAGGATGCTTAAAGAGCTCGATTCCCCCAAACAGGAAGCAACCAATCTCTCACGCTACAGATAAAGAAACTGAGTGCTAGAGAAAGTAAGCCGCTTGCTCCAAGCCAGAATTAATAATATAGCCGAGTTTTGAATGTGGGAGGTAGACTCTACAGCGTCTTAATCAAGATGCTATAAGAAGGTATCAAGAACAACGGAGCATTAATGTATCTATATTTAATATTTTTATTAATTAATTTATTTAGTTGGCTGCTCCAGGTCTTAGTTGTGGCAAGAAGGATCTTTACTTGCAGCATGCCAATGCTTAGCTGGGGCATGTGAAATCTAGTTCCCTGACCAGGGATGGAACCCAGGCCCCCTCCTTGGAAGTGCAGTCTTAGCCACTGCATCACCAGGGAAGCCCTTAAACAAGCATTAATTTAGCATCTGTCATATCCAAGACATTTGTTGGAAGGCAGAGAAAGGATGCAATAAACAAATTGGAAAAAAAAGCCTAAGACGTTGTTACTCTATCCAGGAAGTGAAAACAAGAGAAGTGAAACGATGACTCACAAAAAGGAATCTGTTTTCCCTTGTTCTGGGTTGGCTCCAGAAGCTCCAGAGGGCAGGCCTTTGACTGGTTCACTTGGTGTCCCAAGAGAGGTTTGCCTGGCTCACAGCAATTGTCAGTGACAATTTGTAGGAGGAGCGGTGTTGGCTAAGCACACTGGCAGGACAGGGAGGGCAGAGGCGTCTTCATGATGTTCGGACCTCCCCTGTTCCCTAAGCACACCCGCCATCATCACTTCCCTAGATCCTCTCAACCACCGTGTGCTGGGTCAGACGGGCAGGCAGCCCTGGTTTTCAGGAACATAAAATGCTGGGTGAGTCTTGGTGATAGTTGCCGTTCATTGGACATTCACCCTGTACCAGGTACCAGACTGTTCACACAGGTGTTTTGATTTCCTCCTGGAATCAGTACCTTGGAGCCACAGATACACTGAATCCATGAATCCTAACTCTGATTTCACACAGGAGAAAGGGCAGAAGTGAATTACAATTGTGGGTTCTTCTCTCTCCTCTGCAACCCCACAACCCACTGGAACCACCAAAAGGGAAGAAAATGCTCCTGACATGCCCACTGCTATTCCTGCTTAGCAATCAGCCCTGCAACCACATCCCCATTTCCATGACCACTTATATACAGACAGGTACACACACACAGCAGAAAGGTTCACTGGGATTTAAAAATGGGGATGAATTTGGTCCATCTGTGGTTCTCACATCTCTGTCCTCAGCTCATGTCCCAACTCAGCAGATTTGGTATCCAGGAAAGTACTTTCCTTTCTTCCTGAAAGAGGGAAACTGAGATGGAGGAAAGGCAACAGAAATAGAGCTCACATGGGAAAACTGAGCCTTGGCCAAAGTTTTAGGATTTCCCTAGAAACAATACAGTGTGGTAGCAAGCTAGGAACCCAGACAAACTTCGGTTTGAAGTTTTTTCGGTGTTGAATTCTACCACTTTAGGCTATGTGGCCTTAAGCAGGTCATTTAACCTCGCTAAGCCTCAACTGACCCCCTGCTTCAAATTAGTCTCTGTAATAAATTCAGGCTTCCCTGGTAGCTCAGTGGTAAAGAATCCACCTCCAGTTCAGGAGACACAGGTGCAATCCCTGGGTCAGGAAGACCCCAGGCGAAGGAGATGGCTTGGCAACTCACTCCAGTATCATAGCCTAGGACATCCCATGGTCAGAGGAGCCTGCGGGCTACAGTGCATAGAGTCACAACACAGGTGGACTCGACTTAGTGACTAAACAGCTACAGTAAAGTTCACTAATCCGTATCAGCAGTGGGGGGTCTGGTTTAAATCAGTGAAAAACCTACAGTATAGAATATCCTTAAAGGGACTGCTGTTTTCTTACTGTTAATATGATGATAATAGCTAATAACATTAGCTAGTGTTATGAAGTACTTAACAAGAATTATACTAAGACCTTTACAAGCAAGAGCACATTATGGGATCTTAATGTTTCAGCAGCTGTGGGAGGAGCCAGTATTATTACCCCTGATTTATAGATGAGGAAACTGAGGCCAGGCAGATGAAGTAACTTACAGGAAGCTACCTGGCTCATAAATAAGAATAATACCAAAGCAGCTGCTCTTAACCACTAGGTCACACAGCCTCCCATGTGTCTGGGGACTAAGGGGATTCCATGAAGGGAGCAGTTCAAACAGGCAGATCGTCTTGTGTAGACGGCTGGATGTTCCTTAAGTGTTTGCAATTTATTTATTTAAATGACGTGGCCTATGCTTTCCAAAACTATGTTTTCTATTGCTAATTGATTAATAGGTCAGGAGGTTATAAGAGGATTCTTATAGGTTTAGAACAATAACACCTGGCACCTAGAGAGGATGAACAGCTTGACTTAATGTGGGTCAGTGGGAAGGGCTTGAGCCTGGTCATCAGAAGTACTTGGGTTCATAAACTGGTGCAGTCACTAAAGAGAACACTATTGAGGTTCCTTATGAAACTGAAAGTAGAGTTACCATACGATCCAGCAGTTCCACTCCTGGGCACATATCCAGAAAAGATGACGACTCTAATTTGAAAAGATACACACACCCCAATGTTCATAACCACACTATTTACAATAGCCAAGACAAGGAAGTGCCCTAAGTGTCCGCAGACAGGTGAATGGACAAAGGAGATGTGGTACATACATGCAATGGAATATTGCTCAGCCGTAAAGGAAGAATGAAATATTGCTATTCTGTTGCAAAATGATGGACTTAAAGATAATCATACTAAGCGAAGTAAGTCAGATATCTTAGATTATCATACTAAGTCAGAGAAAGACAAGTATTATGTGGTATAAATTATATGTGGAATCTAAAAAGTGATACAAATGAACTTGTTGACAAAACAGAAATGGACTCACATAGAAAACAAACTCATGGTTACCAAAGGGAACGGGCAGAGGTAGGGAGAAATTACGAGTTTGGAATTAACAGATGCACACTACCGTCTACAAAACAGAGAGACAACAAGACCTACTGTACTGCACAGGGAGCTGTGTCCAGTAACTTATCATAACCTATAATGGAAAAGAGTCTGAGAAAGAATATACAATATGTGTGTGTGTGTGCTCAGTCATGTCCGACCTCTTTGCAACCCCATGGACTGTAGCCCACCAGGCTCGTCTGTCCATGGAATTTCTCAGGCAAAAATACTGGCGTGGGTAGTCATTTCCTCCTCCAGGGGATCTTCCCAACCCAAGGATCAAACCTGAGTCTTTTACGTTCCCTGCATTGGCAGGCAGATTCCTTACCACTGTGCCGCCTGAGAAGCCCATATGTATATACAGATAGATATAAATTTTTCTATACATACGTATTTGAAGCACTTTGCTGTACACTAAAATTAACACAATTTGTAAATCAACTCTGGTTCATTTTTTTAAGTCAGTCTGAAAAAAAAGAAATACTTGGGTTCAAGCCCCGCTTCCTGCTGTGTGATCTGAGGACCTTAACGACCTCTTCTGAGGCTTAATGTTCACTTCTATAAAAGGAGAAAAATAACCATCCTGCCTCAAAGTCTTCAAAAGAAAGAAAAGAGACAAGTTCTCCCCATTCTGGGTGATTCAGTCCCCCTCAGCCTCCAAGTTACATATGTGACAGTAGCTAGCAAGAAACATCCTAGGTATAAGATTACATTTTTAAAATTACACTTTTTAAAACATGTTTGCCTTTGTCACTGTCAATAGACTCTTTTAGATAACTCAGAAGTCAACTTCAGCCCAGGCCATACTGTCACTGATTTTGAATTACCCAAATAGGAAGTGATGAACATCGACTTATCTAATGCTTTGAAACGGACGGAGGACCTCGGGTCTAATCCAGACCACCGCTTGAGTTCAGTTTCAAGGATGCCCCAGTGAGGCATCTCATCACGATGAGTGGTACTTCATGGAGGGAGCACTGCACTGAGAGCCAGGGCACCCGGGCTCCCATCTGGTCGTTCTGCCCCTCCTCCTGCCCCGGGAGAGGCAGCTTCCCGACCTCTGGGAGGACCAGGCACCGCCCTGGCAGACAAATCCCGGGCTGTCTGTGGTAGAAGAGATTTTCTGCCACCGAGGCTTGTGCTGGCTCTTCTCGAGAGCCAAGAGGGAAGTGATGAGCTCACTCTGCATGCGAAGACCGTGAGAGGAGAGAGAGAGACACAGCCTCTCACACACACACCCACACTCACACACACATATATTTCCGGAGGCTATTTCAGTTTCTTTTCCGTTTTGTGCAATTTCACTTATGATATCAGCAGCAGTATGTGGCTGCTATTTGGAAACTCCCCGAGCGGGGGCGCCCCGTCTGCCGGCCTGCCTCCCTATAAAGGGCCGCCTGGCACCTTGTGAAGGGCCAGTCGGAGCTGCAGGGGATCAGCGCGTGGATCGCCCCAGACTCTGCCCACAGCTACCATGAAGGTCTCCGCCGCTGCCCTCGCTGTCCTTCTGACGGCGGCCGCCCTCTGCACTCCTGCATCTGCCTCCCCATGTAAGTCCAAGTCCTGACCGCCACAGCCCCCAGGGCCAGCCCTTAGACTCGCCCGGATCTTGCCCTCTTTTCCTTTTTATGTATTAACAAAAATTATTTATTTATTTTTATTCCTTTATTTTGGCCGTGCTGGGTCTTCATTGCTGGCTCTTCTCCAGTTGCAGTAAGCAGGGGGCTACTCTCTAGTTGCAGTGCTTCCCATTCCAGTAGCCTCTCTTGTTGCGGACGGCAGGCTCTAGGGTGCCTGGGCTCAGTACTTGCGGCTCCTGGGCTCTAGAGCACAAACTCAGTAGTTGTGGCGCCCCGGTTTAGTTGCCCCATGGGTATGTGGGATCTTCCCAGACCAGGGATTCAGCCTGTGTCTCTTGCATTAGCAGGCAGAGTCTTTGCCACTGAGGCACCAGGGAAGCCCTCACCCTCTTTTCAACTGCAGCCTTTATACTGTCTGACTCCTCTGGTTTATATTCTTCCACATTGCTTCACTGACATGTCCAGTTGTCCTGGGTAGAGCTCTAAGCCACTCCATGGCAGGGACCCCTCTGATCAATTTGTCTGTGTCCTCAAAGTCTCCACCCCAAGCCATGCAGGTGCTCACCGAGTGTGGACTGGGGTTACTAGCCGGCAAGGCTGCTCGAGCTGACCTGCAAATGCCTCTGACTCATGTCTGTCATCACCGGCAGGGTTTCTAAGAAGTTTCTAAGCTCTTGACTAAAACCCTCCTGGGACAATCATATTTTCCCCATTTCATAGATTTTGAGAACAGATAACAAAATCTAATTAAATGTCCACTATGGGTCAAGTATTGTGCTGATTGCCTCGCATATCTCATCTTACTTAATATTTGCATCCAGTCTTTGAGTAGCTGTCCTTGTCAGCCCAGAGAGGTTAAGTAACCTGTTCAGGGTCACGCAGCTGGGAAGTAAGAAAAGTGGAGTTCAAACCCAGTTCTTCTTGGCTCTGAAACACTACTACTCTGTTCGGAAATGGCAACTGACCCTTCCTGGGGGCATCCTGAATTCACTGACCAACAAAAAGTCCTCCTTCTCTCAGTAGCTTCAGTCAGATGCTCCCATGATGCAGTATGCATCTTCAGGCCCCTCTTTGGTGTCCTGGTTGAGTCATGAAGTCTGAGTTTTAAAACCCTCCCCACAACCCAGCCTAGGTCTCAAAGAAACCAGGTTCCGAATCCACCGAGGATCCTGGGAGGGCAAGAATAAGGGCAGAGGACCTAGCACCAGCCCAGAGGAGAACCAGCATGCCCTGAGAGCCCAAGGCATGGGGTTGTGGTGTAGAAAGACGGAGGCCAGCTGGCCTCAAGGGTTAGGTGAGAGAATCCCCACTCTGGCACTGTGTGTCCACGGCTAAGTGTCTTTACCTCTCCGAGCCTCAGTTTCAGCTAAAGGAGGAAAATAGTCTGCTGGAGCTAAATCCTATAGAGCGCCCAGCGCAGTTCCCAGTGTGTGCTGGCGATGGATCCAGGAGTCTCCTTCTTTCCTTCTCCTAGATGCCTCGGACACCACACCCTGCTGCTTTGCCTACCTCTCCCGCCCGCTGCCCCGCAACCACGTCCAGGAATATTTCTACACCAGCAGCAAGTGCTCCATGGCAGCAGTGGTGTGAGTCTCAGCCCCATGGGAACCTCGGGGGGAGGGAAAGAAAACTCCCGCCCCAGAATCAGTCTCCCCGGCCAGGAGCCCTCAGAGAGGGTGCTGCATCCATTCCCACCCATCCTCCAGCTGCTCAAATAGCTCTGGTTCTGCCCTTTCTGGATTCAGATTCCCCAGCTATCATGGAAAAAGCTAGACAGTGTGTTCCTAGAGGAGCCCCCTGACTCTGATGGGCTAGGTTAGGTCTCTGATCTTTATGGATGTGACTGTTACTTGAACCTGGTCTGCAACATGCCTGCGTGGGAGAAGATCGACTCATACATCCCTTTCCAGAAAAGGACCCCACAGTCCCCCACATCCCGCCCCCAATCAAAGCCACCCACAACCTCAGAGGAACTAGAGAGGAGAGGTCAGAGGTCAAGGGCCTAGTTGCAGCTTGTTGAAAAAAAAAAGTTATTGATTGATGAAGAAAAAAATAATGAAATGAGATTCTCCTTTAAACACGCAATTTGGAAAAATTTTAATTTTTGCTACCTAGGAAGTGCCTGCTGTGTGTCAAATGTCTTACATGCATTATTAGCTCTACATTTTATCATAGCATCCCTGACAGGTATGAAGAATTCTCTCCACATTTTAGAGTGAAATTGAGACCCAGAGAGGTTCCGTGACTTGTTCAAAGTTGCACAGTATGTGAGGGAGGGAGCCTGTCTCTGGAGCCTCCTCTTTCTAAGCTAGTAAGATCATTAGTGATAGTTGCTTATGGAGTTTAAGATGATAGAGACTTAAAGAATGAAAATGGGGCAATCATGATGTTTTCTGTATAATGATGACTTTTTTGTTGTTGTTTGGGTTTTTTAAATATTTAGTTATTTGTTGGGCTGTTCTGGGGCTTAGCTGCTGGCATGCAGGATCCTTTTAATTGCAGCATGCCAACTTTTAGTTGTGGCATGTGGGATCTAGTTCCCTAACCAAGGATGGAGCTGGGGCTCCTGCATTGGGAGTGTGGAGTCTTACCCACTGGACCACCCACAATGAAGTTTTTTAAGCCAAAAATTCCTGTGACACTGGCAAAGTTGTAGGATTCAGAGTTGTAGGTATTCAGAGTTGGTCTTTAGTCCTGATGAATTCTTCAAATTATTGCTATACTATATATTTGCTATCTAGTACTACTAATTTTATTTCTGAATACAAGTATTTTTTGGACGGAAAAGCAAAACAGAAAAACATTCTTTGAGCACCTATTATGGGCAGGCAGAGAGGAGTAAATCACCATCCCTGCCCTCCTGGGACTCAGAGCCTAAGACAGATGCAGTAATGACCAGGACACCCTACATAAGAACGTGACAAAGGAAAGAAAGAATACACAGCTCTTTGGGGCTTAGCTAAGAGAAGGGATTTAGGGCAAGTTTATGCTGTTTGACTTGGGATCGGACTGAGAGATGGGGTGTATCAGACAGCAAGGATATTGTCAGAACTCTCATTAGGTTTTTGTAGAGTATCCATGTAAAAAAGTATTGAGGGCCTCAAGGCTCAGCACAGAGAATCAAAAGTGTGAAATGAGCTAAAACAGGGGTCCAGTGGAGAGGTTGTCCACATGAGTGGTACTGAGGTTGAAGAGGACTTAGGGAAGGGAAGGAGAGACAGGGGTGAGGAAACTTCCAAGGTGGAATCAGCAAGCCTGGGAGGTGATGTGAGGTCAGGAGCAAGGAAGAGAGAGGACTTGAGAGTGACGCTGAGGTTTCAGCCCACACCTGGAGAAGGGTGAAGCGTGGAGCCCCCTAAAGTCCCAAGGAAGAGCTGTTTTAAAAGGAAAGGGCTGGGACTTCCCTGGTGGTCCAGTGGTGAAGACTCTATGCTTCCAATGCAGGGGGCACGGGTTCCATCCTTGATAGGGGAACTAAGATCCCAGGAGGGCGGTATGAATTAGGAGATTAGGTTTGACATAAATATCCATGTGTAAAATACATAGCCAGTGGGACACTGCTGTGTAGCGCAGGGAGCCCAGCTCGGTGCTCTGTGATGACCTAGAGGGTGGGGTGGTGGGGTGGGGAGAAGTCCAAGAGGAGAGGATACATATGTATACAGAGAGCCGATTCACTCCACTGTACAGCAGAAGCTAACACAACCTTGTAAAGCAATTATAGTCCAATTAATAAAGGAAAAGGGCGAAGGTGCCTGCACCATGACCCTGTGGAAGGGTCCAGCAGGGAGGGTGAGCTGAAGGGTTAGGAGCTGAGGACATGGGGCTGGGGCTGGAGGTGTGACACTTTTTTAAAGGAGGAGGGGGTCTTCTGATGTCAGAGTGGCATTTCAGCCACCTCGGCGGCTCCAGCGAGTCTGTCTTCCCTGGAACCCCAGCTCTTCCACTTAGCAGCTGTGTGACCGTGGGCTCATCACTTAACCTCTCTGAGCCTCAATTTCTTTTTCTGCAAAGTGGAGTAGAACAGAGGTATTTCCCTCCCTGGGTCAAAGTGAGAATAATAAAGAGAAAAATGAGATTAGACTATCTCTTGTCACACAGGTAAGTGCCTGGTTAACTAATCCTCTTTCTCCCCCCAAATGTACTCTTAGATACATAGAAGTGACAAGTGAAACTTGATGAGCAAATGCAATTCATCCAGTCACTAACTCATTTGATAAACATTCATTAGGCACCCACAGTGTGCCACACCCGGGGCTAAAGACTTGAGGGAGCGCACAGGACAAAAGGGCAGCGATGCTGAGCACAGTTGCTCCCCAGGAGGAGCAAGTGAAGGTGGAGGGTAGTCGGGCCAGGACAGGGTCCCCACGGAGGCGGGGGGGGGCGGGGAGAGATGGCCTGGCAAGGGAGGCTGCCATCCAGTCTCACATTCATCAGGGAGGAGCAGGAGGCCTGGGCACCCCACTCTCCAGATGGCGGTTTCTTGGCCTTTAATTTCCTGGCCACAAGCCAGTGGGGCCAAGGAGACAGGACAGTGAGCTGGCAGGATTCCCTGTATGATACCTGGCTGGTCCAGGGCAGGGTCTGCATCGGAAGCTCCCTCACCACCCCAAACAAGAAGACAGCTCAGAACAGCTGGATTTCTCTTCTCTGCATGCCGAGAAAAGGGGAGAAAGAGAGGCAGTGGGGTGCTCAGGGTGCAGCTCAGAGAAGGAGAAGCAGCTCCCCTGAGAGCACATGCTCTCCATGACAGAGCAGGAAAAGGGGCCAAGAGATCCTCTTCCTCATCAAACAACCCAGGCCTTCACTTTGTCTGAAAAAAAATCCCAGAAAGACGCAGGAAAGCATCCTGCAGGAGAAAAGAGTGAGAAAGGTGCAGCGAGGCAGGGCGAGGTGGAGAGGAAACTGTGAATGAACTGGCGACCCTGCCGGCCCCTTCCCTGGTGCCTCTGTGGAAAAGAACCCGCCTGCCAAGCAGGAGATGCAGGTTCGATCCCTGGGTCGGGAAGATCCCCTGGAGGAGGGCATGGCAACCCACTCCGGTATTCTTGCCTGGGAAATCTCATGGACAGAGGAGCCTGACGGGCTACAGTCCACGGGGTTGCAAAAGAGTCAGACGTGACTTAACAACTAAACAGCAATAACTCAAGAAGTGCTGCTGGCCAAGCCCGGGGCATCCGCCAGAGAGAACCAAGCTCCCAGGAAACTGGCGGGGCAGGCAGCTGGATGGAGCCCTCCAACTTACACCGTCGACACCTGTAGACTGGCCTCCACATCCTGGCTGGTTAATTGCTTTGACAAGTGCTTATATCTCAGGGCCCGCAACCTCTCCAAGCCACCACATCCACTACCAGGACCTCTGGTCTCATGTTGCTCTGATCCACCCTAAAAGAGAGGCCCCAGCACCCCAGTAACAACACATATATGGTATTTTCCAAAACTCATTCACACTCACTTATCTCATTTGAGCTTCACAGCAATTGTGCAAAGTAGGAATTATTTCTCTCCATATCTTAGAAGTAAATGTAGACTCAGAGGTCCTAAGTGATTTTGCCCAAGGTGATCTAACCAGTCAGTAGTGAACTCAAAACTCACTTGCGTCCTTCTTCCGTTCACCCACAGACGGGTTCCTTCGTTGAGTGTCTACGTGTGGCGGGCACTGTTACCTAAAACCACACCGTGCGTTTGTTTTGCCACCTCGTCTCCCACTTAGTCAGCTGTGACTCAGTTCTGGAGGGTGCCTCTTTTTCTCTGCATCTTCAGCAGCCAGCACAGGTTCTGAAACAGGAAGTGCCGAGAAGAGGCTAGTGGTTGACCAGCTCAACCCTGGGCGCCTCGAGCCCCGTATTCCCTGAGCTCTCCAGGTTACATGTGTTTGTGCAGGGGCGCAGGGGTTGCAGTGCACATGTAGCTGCTTCTGGCTTGTAGCCTTTTGACCCAACGGAAAAGAAAACATCCTTTCCTTGAAAGCCACAAACACAATCGTGGAGCTCTGAAAATAACCCACCCGGTATCATTTCCTCCCGGCCTCAGTCCCCCTCATGCCCAAACCTGGCTGTCTCCACACTGACCAGGTCCCCCTCTCTTCTCTCCCGCAGCTTTATCACCAGAAAGAACCGCCAAGTGTGCGCCAACCCAGAGAAGAAGTGGGTACGAGACTACATCAACACTTTGGAGTTGAGCTAGGGTGGAGGACGCCTTCAACCTGAACTTGCGCAGACTGCTTCTCGCTCTTGCCCTAAGCAGCTTGGGAGGCTCCCCCGCAGTGCCCTCCTCCCACCCTCTGCTGGGAGGGCACAGATTCCACCCCTCGCAGCAGCAGCTGCTATAAAAGCCCCCCAGGGCTCCGGAGCCTCTGCTGTTGTGCACAGGAGGTCTCTAAGCTCACCGCTCTGCAGTCAGAAAGGATGTCGGCGTCTCTGGAGGGGAAGGAGGGAGGGAGGCTGGGGTCCTCTGGTCATGGCCCGTGACCAGAGCCCCCATCTCGGCCACTCCCTGGGGAGGGCTGGACTGGCAAATGTGGAAAAATCAGCTTTTCATTAAAATTCTCAAAGCGATCACAAAGCTGGCTGTTGGTTTGATTTCCTCTCCAGAACCGCCCCCCTCCCTCATGAGCCAAGCCTTGGATCCAGGGCTTGTCCCGTTGGGCGTCCAGCCTGGATCTGGGGGCTGTGAGCAGAGCCAGGGGAGCAGGCTCTGTGAGAAGGCATTGGGCAGGACAGCGCAGATAAAGTGACCAGCGGTTTTTCTACTCCAAGCCAAGACCACAGTCATATCTCCCAGCCCCAGAGCCCCAAGAGTTTCTGTCCCTCCCTGCCACACTCCTCCCTGCTTCCCCAGATGGTGGTTGACCCTTCTGCCTACTCTGTTGGCTTCCTCCCAAGCCCACCCAACTCCTTACCTGCAGTGGGTTTCTTTAAGCCCCTGGAATGGGTTTTCATGGTGCTCCCAAACACCTCAGTTCTTTCAAATAAAGAGAAGGGGGGATTTTGTGGTTTTCTGCAACGGTACCAGCACTTTGCAGGTGGGAGTATTCCAACTTTCCCATTGACGTGTTCCTCCCTGTGTGCCTGTTTTAGCAAAATATATGTTCATAATTAAAGCTGGCGTTGACTGAGCACTCCTTCTGTGCCAGGCACTGCCAGCCCCTTACATCCACCATCCTTCATCCTCACAACCCTTTTGGACAGGGTATTACTAACCCTGTTTATAGTGGGGGGAAAACCCTTGGCAGGAGATGGAAATAACTTGCCCAAGGCCTCAAAGAAACAAAAAAAAAAATGGGGCATGGGAGAGGGTACAATGAACATTTAGACCTACCAGGTCCAAGGTCCAATGCCAAAGCTGATGGTTTTTTTTTTCTTCCATCTTAAATCTGCAAAATTTCAAACCTACTGAAATTTGCAAGAATATACTCTCCATCTAGATTCAAATATTACTTTATCTATGTGCTTTATCTGTGCATATATGTGCCTGCGTGACACATATATCATATGGATGGTTGTCATGCACATTTTATCTGTGCAAATATGTGTGTGTGTGACACACATGTGTCATATGGGTGGTTGGCATACATATTTCTTTCTGAAATAAATGTTGCAGATGAGATATCATTTCCCCCTTAACAGTTCGCATACATCTCCTAGTAACAAGACATTCTACAGAACCACAGAATGAGTAGCATTTAACACTGGTAAGGTATTAATTTCTCACATACCATCCATGATCAAATCCTCACAACTGTTCAGTAACGCCCTTTATAGTCACTGTTTTTTTTTAATCCAGGATCAAATTTCAAGTACATATTGAATTTAGATAACATGTCCTTTAACAGACTTTGTCTTTAAGTACATTGTTATTTTTGTAGGAATTCAGATTGGATTTTTGTAGAATATTTTTTAAGAGGGGTTTGTCTGCTTGCTTCTTCATAAGGAGAGTCAGCTTGAAAAGTTTCAGCGGAAGACCACAAGGTGACGCTGTCTTTCTTAACGTGGCACATCAGGGCATGTGATGTCCGTTTACTGGAAGTGATGGTCCCGTCGGAGGACTTAGCAGCCGCGGTTTCTCAGAGCGAGCTGCCCCTTGTGTGCTGAGCGTTGGGGTGCGGTGTAGCAATCACTGCAAGCAATCAAAGGAGTTCTCTGTGGTACAAATGACACAGAACCTTCAACCAGAAGCAGAGGCTCAGCAAGCAGGACTACAGCCGGGGGCTGCTGGTGGCAATGCAAGCTGATGTACAGCTGATAGACTTTGAGATAACATTTCCACTTATCAATGTTAATTGACTGTCTATCCACATTTGCATTTTTATTATTGCTGTTCATATTTTTTTTAATAGTCCAAGGGTTTCTTTTACTTTTATTTTTTAATTTTTGGCAGCACACAAGCAGCATGTGGGATCTTAGTTCCCTAATCAGTAATCGAACCTGTGTCCCCTGCAAAGCAAGCATGGAGTCTTAACCACCAGACCATGTTAGGAAAATTAAAATGGAGGTAGTCTTGTTCAGGCTTCAGATTGCTGTCATCTGGGACTTCCCAGCATTCAAGTCCGGATGCAGGTTTTCAGTCCAAGTTGGTGATGTATATGCTATTACCTTTTCCTGTTCTTTTTATTTTACTTTCCGTGACTGCATATTGAAATTAAGCCAAACAATTCTCTATTAAATATTGGAATCGCATATTGTGTGTTTGTATCAAGTGGTTTATTTTGTTAACAAAGACTTCAAACCTAAAACAAAAGTAAAACTTTTAGCAAAACAGACCACCAGGGAAGTCCTCATATAGTTTTAAAAACTCACATTTTTTCCTAAAATGAAATAAAATAAATGTGTTTATGAACAACAACCAAAAGAGTTCTATCTCTTGCCGCCAAAGAAGGAGGTATGTGTCTGATTGGAAGAAGGGATAGTTAAGGAGTTTGAGATGGACATGTACACACTGCTATATTTACAATGGATAATCAACAAGGACCTCCTGGACAGCACAGGGAACTCTGCTCAATGTTATATGGCAGCCCGGATGGGAGGGCGTTTGGGGGAGAATGGGTGCATGTATACGCATGGCTGAGTCCCTTCCCTGTTCACCTGAGACCATCACACCATTGTTTGTTTGTTTGTTCTTTAATTATATTTATTTTAACTGGAGGCTAATTACAATATTGTGGTGGGTTTTGCCATACATTGACATGAATCAGCCATGGGTGTACATGTGTCCCCATACTGAACCCCCCTCCCACCTCCCTCCCCATCCCATCCCTCAGGGTGGTCCCAGTGCACCAGCCCTGAGCGCCCTGTCTCATGCATGGAACCTGACTGGCGATCTGTTCCACATATGATAATATACATGTTTCAATGCTATTCTCTCAAATCATCCCATCCTCGCCTTCACCCACAGAGTCCAAAACTCTGTTCTTTACATCTGTGTCTCTTTTGCTGTCTTACAGATAGGGTCATCGTTACCATTTTTCTAAATTCCATATATATGCGTTAATATACTATATTGGCATACCATTTTTTGTTAATTGGCTATACCCCAACACAAAAGGAAAAGTTTTTGAAAATTTTTTTAAAAAAATAAACACTTCAGAGGAGACAAATAACAAGGGCTATGTGAGCTTGAGGTTCATTAAGTCCTTCGACTTTCTTTTCTAATTTATGCCTCACCACTGCCCCTTGAGCTCGCCAGACAGGCATAGCTTTCCTCCTTTCAGATGAGGAAAGTGAAGTTCCCAGAGGGAAAGCGACTAGCTCAAGCTACAGGCCAGCAGATGCCAGGGCTGGGGCTCCAGAGTAGAACCATAGTGTTCCATGCACCTAGGTGATCTGCTCACTCAACACTCGGAGGCTTCTAGCTCTAGAAGCCCGGACGCCTCACTAGTCCCTCTTGTGCCACAGACGACAGGTCTCCCCGAGCTCTGCCCCAACTCTCACAAGGGAGCAGTCCCTGTAGTCCCCTTGCCCACCCAGGTTCCCTCTGCCCCCCGCCCCGCAGGAGAAAAGGATGGCCTACGAAAAATCAGTCGACATCTCTGACATCGACAGGGCGATGTTCAAGTGCCCATGGCTGGAATATCCAGGAAGGACCAAAGGTGAGGTTAGAATGGACAGGAGTGGAGTCGGGGATAGGGACCTGGAAAGGAAAGCTCCCTGGCCCCCAGTCCCAGGCAGGAGTCCGGGTGATGTCAGCAAGTCTATGGGAAGAGTCAGGGCGGATCCTTGGGTACTTCCAAGGCTCCATACACCCCTCAAGGTAAGTTCCCATGGCCCTCTAAGGTGGGATGTCTCTGTGACGCCCCAGCTTCTGCTTTCTCATCTGCTCTGCACTCTCACAACTCCAAAGTTTCAAGGTGCTCCTCTTGCCCACTGTCCTTCCTCTCATCTGTCTGGCTACCTCTCCTACTTGCACTGAAGACTTAGCTTGTGGATAATCTCCTCTGGAAACCCTCCCTGCTCCTCCCCACCAGTTTAGGACCCCTCATCGAGACCACCTATGCCTTTATCCATCCTCACATTTATTTCCCTTCGTGAATCCCCAGTAAATGGTTCTATCTCACCAGTAGACCAGTGATTCCCAAAATATGTTCCCAAGAGCAGCATCATCAGTATCTTGTTAGAAATGCAACTTCTCAGGACTTACCTGGCGATCCAGAGGTTGATTCTGTGCCACCAATACAGAGGGCAGAGGTTCGATCCCTGGTCAGAGAACTAAGATTCCATGTGCGGTGTACACCACACACCCCACCCAAAAAGTGAATTCTCAGACCACACCCCAGAGTTACTCTGGGGATGAGTCTTCATCTGGGGATAAGGGAATCTGCATTTTAATAAGCCCTCCAGGAACTTCCTTGGTGATCCAGTAGTTAAGACTCTGCGTCCACTGCAATCCCTGGTCAGGGAACTAAGATCCCACATGCCACTCAGCGTGCCCAAAACAAGCAAATGAAAAACAAGATTTACAGTTTTTTCCAGTGCCACTGAAGTTTGAGAACCACTGAGCATTTTTACCATTAACCGCACGTTAGAATCCTTTGGGAAGCTTTCTAAAATGCCTAGGTCCCTTCCTTGGACAATCTGATCCAATTAGTCTGATGCAGGACTGAGGCATGTTAAAAAATTCCCTTAAATAATTCTAGTACGCAGCCAGGGATGAGAACCACCCTGCCAGACCAGTGTGTCTCCAATTTCAAC